TTTCCCTACCTCCATGTCTCCCCTTAAACATTTATTGAGTATGGCACCTGGATTGAGGGGTGGAGTGAAAAGATCTCAGCCTACCCCCAGGAAGTTTATAGTCCGGCCAAGTGAGGTACAGCAGCACCCGGGGGCCGTACGTGCCTGGACACCGCACAGTTCCAGAAGCCCTGATGGTGGGAATAGCTCGCTCTGATGAAATAATAGCTGATGTGGTTTGTCGCTAAGCACGGGACTGCCCTGGAGAAAGACAGCTGCTTCTGGGGTGCCAAGGAGCAGTGGTTCCTGTTACATCCTTCTGACAGCGGGAGAGCTGTCAGTCAGCATGAGGAGTGCTTTACACTGGCCTGGCCAGGAAGGCGGGCGTCTGGAAGCCGAGGCTTGTCGGTTGTAGGTGACTGTCAAGTTCTTAGGTCAGTAGCTGGCTGAAGAAAAACACGTGTGGTTCTGAAATAAGTCAGCAAGCGTGTTCAGGAGACAGAAGCACTGTGGCGAGGGCAGGGTGTGGAACGTCTGTTAGTGCCCACGGGCCTCTGTTTTGTTTGTAGGCGTGACTCTCCCACAGTGCTGGGGAGGACCACTTTGTGTGTTGTGAAGATGCTGTGATGAAATGCAATAAAAACCTTATATAAAAAACTCAGGGTAGATTTATGTTGTGTTCTTACCAGGATTAAAGAAAAAGAGAGGGCTAGCCCAGGAGCCTAGTGATCCTGAATGGACTGCCGTGGTTTGAGAGGCAGCCCCAGTGACTTAAGAAATCCACCGAGTGTATGTGTGTGTGTGTGCGTGCATGTGCGTGTGTGTGTGTGTGCCCTTTCCAAATCCTGACAGATGGAGGAGCAGGGCTTATGGCATAATCATGCCCACCTGGAGGTGCTTTTCTGTCTCTGTCTCTTTATCCCTCTGTGGTGAGAATACATTGCTCCTGGCACGTTGAGAGAGAGAAGTTGTGTCCCGTCTGGTCCTGTGATGGAGGGCGAGAGAACTTTCACAAAGGTGATGAGGCTTACGCTGAGATTGAAGTGACATTGCCGTCAGTGGACCTACAGGCGTTTGGCAGGGACATTGTGCCCAGTGGCAGAAAATTAGAAAAGAGAGTCAGGGGCCAGGTCTCGATGGGCCTCGTGAGTCCAGAGAAGGGGTCTTTGGGTCACAGTGGTGTTGGCAGCAGCCCCAGAGTGCTTTCATGGACAGGTGAGGTGGTCAAGTGTGTGCGACTTGGCGAGGGCTCGGATGTAGCTGGTGACACAGACCTGTTGTCCTTGAGAGGCTTTACCAGCCCTGGAAGAAGCTCAGGCTGAAATCCACCGAGTGTATGTGTGTGTGTGACGTGTGTGCGTGTGTGTGTGTGCGTGTGCGTGTGCGTGTGCGTGTGTGTGTGTGTGTGTTTTAAGAGTTATTTAATCTAACTTTATTAATTATTTATTTAATTTTTAATTTGACCAGAGAGGGACAGAGTGAGAGGGGGAGAGGGTAAATGAGAAAGCAAGCCACCAGGTCAGGGACTTGAACTGTGGTCAGCCACGTGGGAGTGCAGCACCCTTAGCCAGCATACCACCTGCCAGCCCCCTGGTTTGAGCTGACTTTGAGGCATCGGTGATGGTGTCAAGGAGAAGGGGTATGTTTTGAGGAGCTCGGAGATGTCTGATTGGCCCATAACTATGTGTGACGAGCTGTAGTGGCAGGTGGTAACCGGGCCCTGGCCATACGTGGGAGTGACGGGAGTTACTGGGAGAGGAGGGTCCGGCACTAGGTTTTCAGGCTCTTTATCACCTAATGGAAAGGACGGTCAGAAGGAGGAGGACCAGGACGGTGGTGTTGGCGCCGAGGGAAGAGAGTTTCAAGAAAGAATTGCTAGGAGCAGAACCAACACAGCTGGGAGTGTGTAAGGAGGTGCTCTCTGGGCTTGTCGGTTCATAATGCAGTTTATTCACTGGCTCCGTGTGCCAGGTACTCTTCTAGAAGCCGAGAACACGGCACCAGAAAGCAAAGCCGCGGCTCCCATGGACTACACATTCTAATGGCCATGAACTACACATTCTAATGGGAAAAAGCCCCAACACTTGGGCCAGCGTGTGGGGTGGGTGGGCGGGAGTGCTGCCGTGGACAGGTGATCGGGTGTTTGTCTCTGAGGTGGCCACCTCGGAGCAGTTCCTTAATGAAGGAAGGAGAAAGCCATTCACAGAGGTGGGGAGAACCCGGGATGAGAAATCTGCCCCGAAGGACCTGAGGTAGAGCTGTGCTCAGGAATTCTGAGCCACAGCGAGGAGGGGTGGCTGGAGAAGAGTAAGGAGAAGGGGCCTAGGAGAGAAGGGCGGAGGGTGGAGGACCTCGCGGGCCCTTGGGTGGTTACTGGCCGTACAAAGGGAAGCGTGTGGACTTCTGTGACACAGAGACCGGGAGGAGTGGCAGGGCTGCAGGAGGGAGCGGGACTGGACGACCTAGCCAGCGCGCTGACGGAGGGCAGTGGCCAGAGGCTGTGAGGGCTCCCCTTGCACTGCATGCCCGTGGGGTTCAGGCTCGATTTCCTGTCCCAGAGTGAATCCAAGGAAAGGTCTTGGAGCCACAGACACACCCCAGATGCAGCTCGCGGGGCGAGGCGAAGGGTGCAGGTGTTCGCCCCCAGCCCTCTCCTGGGCCTTAGGCCCTCCCGCTGACCCGGCACTTCCCTATCGCCTTCCTCATGGCCCCTGTCACCTCCTTGTTCCTGAGGCTGTAGATGACGGGATTAAGCATGGGCGTGAGGACGGTGTAGAAGACGGACACAACGTCATCCTGCCCAGGAGAGTGGTAGGATGCGGGTAACATGTAGGTGTAGACCAGGGGCCCATAGAACAGGTTGACGACTGTCAAGTGGGAAGAGCAGGTGGCCAGAGCCTTCTGACGTCCCTCCACCGAGCGCATCCGGAGCACGGCCGCTAGGATGAGGGCGTAGGAGGTGCTGATGAAGGCGATGGGCACCAGGAGCACCACCACGCCCGTGACGAAGAGCACCTGCTCGTAGGCCTCCGTGTCCGCGCAGGCCAGCACGAGCAGGGAGGGCACTTCGCAGAAGAAGTGGGCGATCCTGCGCGAGCCACAGTAGGGGAACTGCAGGGTCAGTGAGGTCTGGATGGAGGCGTTGAGGGACCCTCCCAGCCAAGAGGCCGCCACCATGAGCAGGCAGACCTGGCGGCTCATGAGCACCGGGTAGCGCAGAGGGTTGCAGATGGCGACGTAGCGGTCGTAGGCCATGAGGGCCAACAGGAGGCACTCCGCAGCTCCCAGGAACATGAAGAAGAACATCTGTGCCCCACAGCCCCCGAACGAGATGCCCGTCCAGCCGAAGAGGAAGCCCACTATCATCTTGGGCACAGTGACCGAAGTAAAGAAGATGTCCAGGAAGGACAGCTGGCTGAGGAGGAAGTACATGGGCGTGTGAAGCCGAGCGTCAGCCCAGATGAGGAGGACCATGGCAGCATTGCCAGCCATGGCCAGGACGTAGACCACCACCACCATGCTGAAGAGGAACAGGTGTGTCCGGCTGTCATCGAAAAGGCTGGTGAGGACAAACCCAGTGATGGAGGAGTGGTTCCACGGCCCCCTGCCCGCCTCCTGCGGCGTCTCGCTGTGGAGAGGAATGCGAGCCAGCTCACGGAGGGCTCGGGACGTTCTCTGAGACGGAGACACGGGTGGGCGGAGTGCACAGGGCAGCAGGGCCGCCCCATGGTGCCCTCGCAGACTCGCAGGGCAGGTGTGCGCGGTGAGGCTCTGCGTGTGCAGGGCTGCTGCAGCGGGGCTCAGAGCGAGACTCGTAATGGAGGAAAGAGGGAAGACGGGAAACCAGGGATCTAAGTATCCACCTCAAAAAGCTCGAAAAGTATAACCGCCCATTACAGCCCTGCTTTGAGATATGCATTAGTGATTGGCATTGCTGACACTCAAACACAGGTAAGTGGACAGACACACATGGGAAAAATCTTTGAAAAACATGCTTAACCTGAGGATTCTTTCCACACACGTGTGGATTCTGTGGTTCAGAACTTTTACTTACGCGGGGACCAGCAGTTAGCGTAATGGCTATGTCACTGGACTCCCACGTAGTCGACTGCAGTTCACGTCCTGGACCCGGTGGCTTAAAACTCACGCCGGGTGCATGTGCATGTGTGCCCAAGATCCCGAGAGGAGAATGGAGGAGAAGGGATTGCGACCTGGCCATCCCCCCTGGGGGTGATTTCTCGCTTTCTGTCTCTCTGTCTCTGTCTGTCTGGCGAGTGCACGCGCCCTATAGCAAAAACCTCTCAAAAAAAAAAAAAAAAAAAGAAAGAAGAAAAAACCACTTGCTTACGTGGGGACCCACGCCACACATTTCGGAGCCCGGCCTCTGCTGGCCGGTGCGCTCAGCAGTTAGCAGGGGACAGCTGCACGTCTCGCCGCTCTGGCATTCGGAGCCGGACTCGAATTCTTCCCGTATGTGGGTTCCTGGCAATGCACTGTCCTCATGCTGTCCTCTCAGGTTTGTTTCAATACTTTCCTGATCACTGAGTCTAACTATCTTTTTTTTAAAAGAATTATTTAATTTTATTTATTCATTTATTTTAATTTGGCCAGAGAGAGACACAGAAAGCAAGAGAGAGGGAAAGTGAGAAAGCAAGCCACCAGGTCCGGGACTCAAACCATGGTTGGCCATGTGGGAGTGTCCAGCGCCTTAACCACCATGCCACCTGCTGGTCCCCAAGTCTAATTATCTTAGTAAGGAGATTCCTTATTAACTTTTTGATAAAATTTGGACCTTAATGTAAAAATAAATCTATAGATTTCATTTTAGGAGTCAGTCCGTCAGTTTGCTTCCCTTGGGAGGAATCTGGAGCCCTAAGATCCTCCCCTCTCCATTTCTGTCTGTCCAGGTAAAGTAACCTTTCAAGGAGCATCAAGCCGAGCTACGGTGGGACAGTCAGTTTTAGGAGTTGCGGGTGAGAGCCAGGTCTAGCCCATTCTCCGTTTCAAGGCCAAGCTGTAAGAAAGCCCGTGGAGGCCTGCCCATCTGGCGGTCCCCAGAACCTCAGGGCATGCTGGGACCTTGGGACCAGAGCCATGAATCCTGGCCAATGCCTTGACTTCTTGTTTATGGTCTGGACGTGGGTTTGATAGCAAATGTCTTAAATAGAAGGAAATAAAACGAGCTAGCCAGGAATTGAGATGGAGGGTGTGTTGGAGTGGGTGGTCACTGTCAGTCACTGGGACAGGGTGGGCAAGGCAGCAAAGTGTCTTGAAGGCACAGAGTGTCCGACGTGGCAGAGGATGGCCCCAGTTCCAGTGCCCGTCAGGACACCGGACAGCGGCCCAGCCTGCACGGGACTGCCCTCCTGCTTCCCGGATCTGGTCCTGGGAGGCTCGTGAGTGCCTCTTCTCAGGGCTCCAGGGGCTTGGTCGTGGATGTGCAGCAGAACTGAGACCCACCGGCTAGCCCCGCTCAGCTCTTACCTGACCGTCGTGCGTACGTGCGAGCTTGGAGACAACGCTTCTAGAAGCCTCACCACAGCAGAGCGCTGTCCTGGAGAGGCCTCTCCTGGTGCAGGTCCTGACTACACCAGCGGCCTCTCTCTGGGACTGTAAATCCCCCCGAGGCGCTCACCCTGGTGCACCGATTCCTTAGACAGGAATCAAAGCTTCCGAGTGCGGAGGGCCACTCCCAAGCCTGTCTCGAGTTGTTACGCCCAAACACAAGGCGTGGCTTCTAGTGAGGCTGTGGCCCTTGCACCAGTTCTCTGCATTTTTCGGTGCTTTGACATCTTGAGACCTTGTGGCCCTCAGGGGAAGTGCACCTCCCAGTTTCCTGATTCCTAGACAGAGCAGCCGTTGCCCTAGCCATGAGCTCGCCTCGGATGTGCAGCCCAGCCTGTCCAGAGCTCACGGTCTGAGTGCCTCGCATTGTCGGCCTTCATCCAGACACTGCCCACCTTTGATGGCGCCGGGCCTGGGCCCGGGCAGCAGGAGAGCACCTCTGCAGCCTGGGGCCTGCCTGGGCTACTCCAACCACCCTCGCCTGCTCGCTGCCCTCCCTGCCTTTCCCGCTCCTTCCCAGGGAGCCCAGTAACGGCCTCTGTGCTGCTGCTCACCCTTTGTCCTGACAGACCCTTGTGCTTCCCTGCGTGGTCCAGCATGGCATGGAGTGTCTCCTTTTCCTGGGGACTGTGAGTATCAAGGTTTTTTATTTGTTTGTTTTTTAATGTTCCAGAGGAGGGCCAGAGAGATGAGTGGAGAGAGAGAGGGAAAGTGAGCAGCGCGCTCCGGGGGCGTGGTCGCGCGGCCGTGCTTTCTCTGTCTTCGCTCCTCAGCGTTTTGGGCACACACGCACACACGGACCCAGCCAGAGTCTCAAGCTGTGGGGCCTGGGGAGACGACCCTGTAAATGGCAGCTGTCCCCTTCTTGCTGGTCTCACCGTACGTAAATACAAATAAAAACGGGCCGGCCAGTGGCCTGGTGGCTAAGGCTGCTGGATGCCACAGGCGGAGTGCACAGTCTGAGTCCTGGACCTACTGGGCTGAGAAATACGTTGAATAGTCAGGCAGGTGTGCATCTGTGCCCAGCGTCTCGAAGGGAGGCAGAGATGGGGGAGGGACTGTGTGGACGGCCATGTCCCATGGGGGCAGGGAGGGGGACGCTTCCTCTCTCTCTCTTTCTTTCTCTTTCCAGTGAGTGAATGCAACCTCTGGCAAATTAAGAAAGAAGATCTTGAGTGCATTTTTAAACATTCCTCCGAAGTGAATCTCCTCACTTTGTACCCGCTTGGGCATTTTGTAGGTACAGCTGGTCTTGTTTGGTAGCTCAGGCATCTGAGAACCACTTGGAAGGAACCGAGCTCAACTTCCCATGTTCTGGTGAGCAGGAGGCGCCCTGGCCACAAGGTCACATCCAACCTCACGACTCTCCTCGAGCACATCCTCAGCCCCAGCCTGAGGGGCAGGTGTGATCGTTCTTCACTGTCCAGGGGCGTCCTCCAGTTTGACAGAGTCCCTGGATCTACCCTCGAGGAATCCAGAGGGCAGATGACAAAACGATGTCCATTGCCCAGTGTCCCCTGCAGGGCATGGTCTCTGGGGTAGGGACCTCTCACTAGAGAGATGTCGTCTCTTACCCTCCACCAAGGCAAGTGAAAACGATACGAGCCACATGTTTAGAACCTGTAATAACCTGACGACTCGGCTGAGTGTGTGTGCACGTGTGTGTGCACAGTAAGCCCACATGCACGGTGCACTCACACACCCTTGACTTTCACAAGTGATGATATCACAATTTGTGGACAAGAGAGTGGTTTTTCTTTTTTAAGAAACTTTTATATTGCCAGAGAATTTAAGTGCCTGAAAGTTTGATGGAAGAGAAGCTGTGAATTACCTTGCTCTGATTTTCCACTGTGAGCTTGTGGTCAGCTACGAAGCTGCATGCTTGGGGGTGGAGGGTTATGCTGTTCTCCCTCTCTTATACCTCCCGCGTCAGACTCACCTCACGCTGTCCCCGTCCACAGTCCCCATCAATGTCCGTCTCTTGCTGGCTGTGTCCTCCTTCTGGATCCTTCCCGGTTGCAGGCTATGGCTCAGAGACCAGAGCAGGTACTTTGAGGAGGCCACATGGAGAGCTGAGTCCTCGGGGAGAGGGTGACAAGTGTCTCCTTTCACTAGGCACCCCAAAAGGCTTCCCGTTTTCCCACTAGAGCGCCTTCGTCCCTTGGCGTATCTGCTATGGTTAGGGTGAGCTGCTGCCTGTTCTCGCTGCTCCCTCCGAATTCCCAGTGCTGTCTTTGCAAAGCCTTCACCACTGCATCTTCCTTGTCAGTATTTTCCAGTTGTGGAGACCAGGATTCACGGTCCTGTGTGGGGCTTAGGGTTCAGCTGTGCTGCTGGACTCACAGGACAGCGTGCGGGAAGGCACAAGGTGCCTCGGCCCCAACCTTCCTTTGTGGGTTCAGTGTTGGCACTAAGGGCAGAGGTCCCCAGACCTGTCTGTGCATTAGAATAACCTGGGGAGTTTCACAAAGGACTAATGTCTGCGCTTCTCTACTAGCAGCAGTACAGTTGTTCGGGGATGTATTCTGGTCTTGGGAAATTTTAAAAGATTTCCAGGTGATTTTAATTTGCAGACAAATCTGGGAACCAATGGAGTAGGAGTTTCACAGAGAAAAGACAAAAATGTCAGCTGCGTGCACCCTCCAGAGCTCCTGAGGCTGGGGAGGGGGGTGCCTGGGTCAGCAGCATCCACTTGTTCAAAATGAAAATGCTCAGACTCCCTCGGTCTCGCCGGTCAGAAGCTGGGCGTGCTCACACGTCTAGGTTAGCACTGGGCGTGCTCACACGTCTAGGTTAACACCTGCCACGTTCCCGTGTTCTCGCCAGGACAGAGTGTGCACCTCAGCGGGTGTTTGTCCCTCGTCACGCGAGGAGGTAGGCTTGGTCATGGCATCAAGACAAAGAGGCTAGGGGTGGTGTGTGGTGTGTAACATCCTTCAGTGCACAGACAGGCCCTCACCCCAAAGGACTGACCAGCTCAGAACCCACGGGGCCAAGTCTGAGAATGCCTACCCATGGTTCTCCCTGGGCTGAATTTGGGTACTCACCGGGAGAGAGCAGAGTGGTGGGTTCAAGCTCATGTCTCTCCTGAGACCAGTCTTAACCTCGGCCACTTTCTGGCTGCTCTCCAGAGTCCACGTCACCGGATGAGTGAGTGATGGGCCACTGCTTGGCAGTCTACTTAAAGTAATTAAACAGATTCTGGTTAGTGGACCTGCTTTAACTCCATGCCGTGTAATTTATAAGCACTACTCAAATATACCTCCGTGCAGACCAGCAGAAAAGAAGACAGGATGACGAGCTGCACCGTTCGTTCTCCTCTGCCCTCCTCTTCTAAGCGCTTGAACAGAAGCCCAGGGTTACTGGGTGTAGAGAGACGGGCTCACTGGGGGATGGACGCCCTACAGCAAGGGGCGAGAGTGGTCATGGTCCTTCTTCCTCTGGGATTCCTTAGTGGGGAGAGAGGGCGCCCTCCCCTGCAGACCCCGGAGAGATTGGGCAGGGCATTTCCGAGGCTGGAACCCAGGGACGCCCTCCCCACCGCTCCATGCGTCCCAGGGCTTTCCGTGCAGGCGGTCTAGTGACTCCAGAAAGAAGGCAGTCCAGGTTTAAATGAATTCCAACTAATGGCACATTCCAAGGGCTAAGATAAGTCTCACAGTTTCTTCATTTCTTAAAGATACGCATCAGTTTCCCTCAGCTGTCACATGGTGCCCCAGGGGCTCCAGGGCCCGGGCTGTTGTTCTAGACCTTTATAGTAGGGAGCCTTGGGTGCAGGCAGATCGGCATGGCGTCATCCGGCGTCATCTTGGTGTCGGGGGAGGCTGCCTGCCGGCTGGCAGTTACAGAGGGGGCTCTCCCTCCCTACCTCCC